CCATCCCTTCACTTTCTGCCTGTGTGATCCTTCTGTTCTGAGGTGGTTCTCTTGTAGACAGCATATATATGGGTCATGTTTTCTTATCCATTTAGTTACTCTGTGTCTTTTGATTGGAACATTTAGCCATTGGAACATTTAAGGTTACTATTAATAGGTACTTATTCATTGCCATTCTTATTCTTTATACCTGTGTTTTTCTCTTTCTTTTTCTTATGACAGTTCCTTTAGCATTTTCTTGTGTTGCTGTTTTACTTGTAATAAACTCTTCTAGCCATTTTTTGTCTGCGAAGCTCTTTATTCACCTTACATTTTTGAATGATAGTCTTGCTGGTTCAGTCCCTGGTTTTCATTACCTGTATATTTCATGCCATTCCCTTTTGGCCTGAAGTTTTTCTATTGAGAAGTTAGCTAACAATGTAATGGGATATCCTTTGTAGGTAACTTTCTGTCTCTCTCTTGCAGCCTTGAAGATTCTTTCTTTGTCTTTGACGTTTGCCATTTTAATTAATATATGCCTTGGTGTGGTTCTTTTGGAGTTTATCTTGATTGGTATTCGCTGTGTTTCCTGGACTCAAGTGACTTTTCCTTCACCAGGTTAGGGAAATTTTCTTCCATTACGTCTTCAAAGAGGCTCTCTATTCCTTCCTTAGATTCTTCTGCTTCTGACATCCCTATTATGCAGATGTTGTTATGTTTCATGTTGTCCAAAGCTCCCGTAGACTCACTTCCTGCTTTTTATTTTTTTTCCATTTGCTGCTCTGAATGGGTGTTTTTGTCTACCTTGTCTTCTAATTCACTGATTTTATCCTCAGCCTCTTCTAGTCTATGGCTGAATCCTTCCAGGGTGTTCTTTATTTCAGCTCTGTTATTCCTCATTTCCAGTTGATTCTTATTTATTGTTTTAAGCTTTCTTTTCATGTTGGCGTAGCTTTCATTAAGACCCTTATAATTCTAATTAAGTTTCTTGTAGTTCTCACTGAATTGTTTGTGCATCCTTAATACTATTACTCTGAATTCTTTATCTGACAAATTATTTACCTCTATGTCATTTAGTTCCTTTTCTGTTTTTTCCATGTCTTTAATTTTGGGGATTGTTTCTTTGTCTCACCAGTTTGCTATCCCTTTGTTTTTGTTTCTGTATATTAGATAAAACTGCTATGCCACCCAGATTTTGTGGGATGGTCTTATGCAGTAGGTGTTTTGTGGGACCCAGTGGTCCTCTTAGACCACATGAGCTGGGTTTTCTAGGAAAGCCCCTTACTTGAGTTATTTGGCTTCTCCTGTTGTATTTGGGTTTTGAGTGTTATTGCCTTATTCATGGATGGAGTCTCCTCTCAGACTGGCTGACTATGTGCCACCCCTGAGCATGTCATGAAAGCTGTTGTAGAGATGCTGACCAAACAAAACAAAATAGAACACAACAAAATATACAGTGGAAGATAGAAAACAAAAGTGTACATAAGACCCCTATAGCACCAACAAAAGCAACCACTAGAAAAGAGAGAATTCAGAAAGAGAAGAGAGAGCAAGAATGGTAGAAAAAAATAAAGAAAAAAAATACAAGGACAAAACAAAACAAACAAACAAAAGAAGCACAAACAAAAAACCAACAGAAAATGGTGGCAGAATATATAGATGCAGAGCTGAAATAAAGAAAGTAAAAATAAAGAATTAGAGGCATAGGGGCAGGAAAATGGCTTAGAATAAGAGAGGGAGAAACGAAATGAAAAAACAAGAAAATAATTTATAAAGAAAAATAGAGGAAAAAGCAGATAGACTTATAATAAGAAAAAGAAAAAGGATGAAAAAGCAGGAGAAAAAGAGAGAAAAAAAACTGAGTAGTCAAAAAAAGAAAATTGAGCAGCAAAAGGAAAGAGGAAAGTTAGATATATGAATGAAACAACAGAGACTAGAATAATAAGAAATCAATAACACAGATAGATATAGAAGATAAATTTAAAAAGGCAAAAAAAAGAAAGGGAAGAGAAAAATAAAAAAGAAAATAGAGGGAAAAAGTGAGGAAAAGAGAAGAAAAAAGTAAAAAAGAAAGAAAGACAGTGAATTGGCATTTGTTTCAGCCGAGTGTAGTGCTTCCTGGGAGCGCACTTAGACCCCACTCTTCTCTGTCTGCCAATTCTGAGCTTCCTGTTCTGGAGGTAGGTGCTGACACTGTCAGGGACTGCCCTCTTTTGGCTTTCAGCTCCTGCTTGAAGCTCCAAGTGATCCACCTATTCACTGTTTGTGTCTCCACAGGCCTTGGCTGCCTGAAGGAGGGCCAATCTGCCCCCTGAAGCAGGTTTGTTAGCACACTTCCCCTGGCTCCCCAGGCTCCACCTCTGCCTGCTAGCCATCTGTCAATCTTAATCACTCAGAAGCCTGTTTCTGAAGGGGCCTTAGGCGGGAGGTGCTGTTTAGTTTTTAGGAAATGTGGTGGGTGTGTTTCCCTGTCCCAGAGCTACTCCTCCCCAAGTTGCCCAAATGATCACTCTTTCCTTGGCTAGACAGCGATCCTGTGTGGAGATCAGTGGGGCTGGCCGTAAACCTGGAGTTGTTATCAGTTCCCCCCTGTGGGGAAATGATCAGTCTGGTTCCCAGGTTAGTGGAGTGGGCGGCCCCTGCCCCAGTCCAGTCACTGCGGGCTCCTTGAGACTGTTCAAACCTGTGACTTTGGCCTCTACTTTTGTTCCTCTGTTAAGCTCCAAATGCAGGGCGTGGTGGCATGCTGTGGGTGGGACAGGCTGTGCCGCTTAAGGCTTGTTGTTGTTTTTTTTTCTTTTCCTGCCCTGTGGCTGCTGGGGTCCTATGACCAAATGCTCCTGGCTGCTGTTTTCCCAAGTATCATATCCTCAGGAAAGAATTTAAAATAAGAAGGGAAGGAAGAATCACTCCTAATAGTGTTTTACTTCATAATATCCAATTTCTATTTGGATGCTGCAATTTAATTCTAGATGAGGTTATCTGATTTCTTAACAAGACGTCTTTAACTCGGTTCATATAGATTTGCGGTGGAGTGCGGGAAACGTGTAAACTCGGGCCGATTGTAACTGCGTATTACCAAATATCTGTTTATGTAGGCAGCCTTATTTGCCCTCAGTACCCTGACATAGACTGAATATCAGTATCTGGAAACACAATCTAGGTCAGCAGTCGCCAACTTGTGGTCTGGGGACCACTGGTGGTCCATGAGAAAATTTTGGTGATCCACAGAAAAATTTGGACCTTATTTGCATTTTTAAAAAACCACTTGAATATTTTCAAAGAGTGCATGAAAATATGCAAAAGCAAGTAATTGCTCTAACAAAAATGACTGTTGGAGATAAATCCTCATTAAAGGCTTCTTATCTGATAGCACTTCAGACCTCGAAAAATAAAAAGCCGTATACAATTGGAGAAGAATTAATTCAGCCTTACAAGCCTGGGAAGAGGTTTTGGGAAGGCAGGCTGTCCAGACACTGAAAGCAATTCCTATGTCTGTTAACACTGTCAAATGCAGAATTGAAGACATGGCTGAAGATATTGAAAATCAAGTTATAAAAATGGTGGAAAATTCACCATTTTATTCAATTCAACTTGACGAATCAATGGTGAAAGTAACAAGGCGCTTCTCCTTTGTTTTGTGCGGAGAGCTGCAGGAAGAACTACTTTGTTGGCTCAGCTTGCCGGTGGAACAACTAGCTCTGAGATTTTTGAAGCAGGTTAATAGTTATTTCCTGGAACTCGGAATTGAATGGGAAGAATGTACAGATGGTGCCGCAAACATGACTGACATCTTTCAGGAATTGTTGCAAAGGTGAAAAATGTTGGCCACCTGGACATTTTGTCTACACACTGCATTATACATCATGAGCAATTTGCGGCGAAAAAAATGTCCCCAGAACTACACGAGGTATTATCAGATGTTATTAAAATTATAAGTGAAATTCGACACAAAGCTCTAATTCTCGAATATTTGAGGCGCTTTGCGAAGAAGTGGGTTCCCAGTATACTCCACCTTCTGCACGCTGTGGGGAGACGGCTGTCCAAGGGGCAAGATCCTAACCCGACTGTTCGCCTTGCGCGAAGAAGTCAAAATATCTTCCCAAAGTAAATTCCAGTCATTCTTATCAAGACCCCATTTTTGGATCTCCATTAAAAGTGAATACCCATTGCTGAGTGAAAAAGCAATGAACATTTTGATTCAATTTTCAACAATATATTTCTGCGAAAAAAACATTTTCATCTGTCTCAGCAATTAAAACTCGGTACCGGTCTCGGCTTGAAATAAATTCGGCTCTCCATCTTGCAGTAACGTCATTGGAGCCAAAAATCCATAAATTTATTTCAAGCAAACAGGAGGAAATATCACACTCTAAAAATGTGTAATACTTAAGCTTCAATTATTTCGTAAAAATTAATATTTTAATAAATTTGTTACAATTAAACAACCTTTGAAGATTTTGTTATAATTAAATAAGTATTTATAATGTTGTTACATCAAATAGGTACATTTCATATTAATAAAATGGAAGTTCTCTGATCATTATTTTACAAATGTATTTTATCTTTTTTAAAAAAATCATATTAGTGGCCTGCGAGATTTAAAATTATGAATTTAGTGGTCGTGAGGTCCAAAAGTTTGACGACCGCTGACCTAGGTATTTTCTAATTATGCCAATGATAGTATTTACAATATTTTATGTTGAGTGATAATAAATATGTAAATTTCCATTAAAAGTTGCAATAGTCATAGTTATTGCATATCTAATGATAAATTCAAGAAAAAGTAGTTTTTTAAATGTTTTAATTTTCATCTTTTATTCATTCAAAAACTACTTTTAAGCACTTAATAGGTGTCAAGCGTTTTCTAATGTGCTGAGGAAGCAGTGGTGAGCCGAGCAGACCAATGTCTATTCTCAATGTGCTTCAACTTTTAGGGCACTCGGAATAAAACCAAGGTATTTGTGTTTCAGATTTTCAGGTTGTTTGACTTGACCGTATTATTTCTCTCTGATTGGCAGCACACTTTGCTATAGCTATTGGAGGCTTCATTTATTTAATCAGCTACTTTCCAGCTCCCAGGATCTCTTCAAGTTACGCACAGATGACACTCATCGAGAAGCTGGCTTTTTCCCTCAGCTCAAATGTCGTAATGGCACTGGGAACCAAATACCTTGTCAGGGCAGAAATAAACAGTGAGTGGTAACCTTGTAAATTTTGCCACGTTCTCATAGGGTATTCACAGTTTTAATGTTACTGATATTGCTAAACTGTCCTAAAAAAAATTCACACTACTTTATACCATTACCTATAGTGCATGAGTTTGCACATTCCCTCCATAAATTTACTCAGGTCTTTTAAAAATTTTAAGTCTTTATTGATTGCAGAGAGAGGAAGGGACAGGGAGAGAAGGATAGAAACATCAGTTATGTCAGAATATCATTGACCGGTTGCCTCCTGCATTGCCTACTGCAGATCCAGCCCCAACCTGGGCATGTGCCCTGACTGGGAATCAAACTGTGACCTCCTGTTTTATAGGTCGATGCTCAACCACTGAGCAACACTGGCCAGGCCTCAGGTCTGTTAGGGTCTTTCCCTACTCCTTTTGGAGTTGCCACCTTCTGTTTAGGGGTAGGGATGAAGTGACATGGTTCTGCCTTTTAGTAACTTCCTTCTTCCTTTTTCCATCAATGAAAACCTATGCAAAACCCCTCTAGTCTGTTCTTTAGTTCTCATTCATCTCTACTGTGCAGTGACTGCATTTTTCCAAAATTACATATGTCAGTGAACATTTAGAATGAGGACGGGGTGGGGAGAGGAGCCGCTGTCTAAACCAAGCATGTCAACCTCAAAGGCTAACATGGGCCTAATAAACAAGGTTTAACTTTACATGGGCCGCAAAAAAACAAAAGCTTCAATTTTCATAGAAACGTGGGTTTATTTTGATAGAGACATGCTGAATACAAAGGGCTAAAATAAATGAGTCATCATTAACATAAAATAATAGAACATTTTAATAAAAATTAATATTTTTTCTTGAACATTAACTTAGCAGACACTGAATGCCTGCACAAATTAATAAGTGTAACACAAATAAACCTAATTTTCTTGTTCTCTGAAAGTGAAATATTTCCTGTTGTGCCCACCTAACAAGTCAGTCCAAGACTAATGACGTGGCAATCAGCTGCTAAAATATTCGCTGCTGGGATTAGTGGAGAGAAATGGTGCGCCTGCGCATAAGGCGCGTAAGGAAAATGAATGCAACACGATGGTAGTCATCAGTCATTAGCGAACATTGTAGTTCATTATTAATAATTATGTATAACAGGATATTGTAAAAATTAAGTTACGAAATTTTGTTAAAACGTTTCTTACATACCGTTATATTGGCTGGGCTGCAAAAATATTCGTTGCGGGCCACATGCAGCTCGCAGGCCGTGAGTTTGACATGCTTGGTCTAAACCTATAGCTCTGCTTATTTTTCGTAAAACTCCTTTTCCTGACTTTTTAGTATATTTTATTTTTGTTTAATTTATTACTGATTGTCTTTGTCATAGTAGGAGGCATATTACATGATTACTTGCTCAGATGTCCTAAATTCTAACAGCATAAGAAAGTAGCTGAATATAATAGTAATCTCTAGAGAACATTAACTTTTTTCACTCTTTCATTATGATACACATGAATAACTTTGTCTCAGTTGCCACCTAAATTTAATGTCTCCTGTTATCTCTTAGAAATTGGAATTAAATGGAGTAACATCTTCTCACCAAACACGGTGGAGAACTTTGTCTTTGCCTATATACTGGGAACATTTTTACTTGATGCTGTCTTGTACGGCCTTGTGGCTTGGTACATAGAAGCCGTCTTTCCCGGAGAGTATGGTGTGCCCAAGCCATGGAACTTCTTTTTGCTGGTGAGTTGTACTGCTTCTGTTATTGAGAGAGGACACAGTCCTATGGACATGATCTGTAATTTATATAAAAGGCAGCAGTAGTTAATTTTGCCCTGTCTATAATTGAATCAATAGGTCAGGTGAAAGAATCATTCTAATTACTTCAGGCATATGAATTCACTAACCTTTCCCTAATACACTATAAAGTCTCTACTATATATGTAATCTGTAGTTCATGGCCTGCCATCCAAAACTTAATAATCCATCACTTTTGCAGGCTAGTGTTTCATAAGGGATTGAACCCCAGCATAACAAAGTTAACATAGGGTGGCGTCTTCGGATACTAACACGGAGAAGTTTAGTTATGTTCCATATCTTGCTTGGCACTCACCACGTTTGGTTAGCCGCACTTCTTCACAGCAAAAAGGGCAGCATGTCTCCCTTCTTTTTCCCCTTATTATTACTGGCTTATGTGTTGCTAAGAGGAGACATGGCAGAGTGATAGGATATGTTCTACTGTGACCTCATTTTGCAGTGATTTCCTTTTGTTTCTCTCAGACAGATATGATTAATAGAGTCATCTCTTTTTATGCCTTGGGGGTTCAAATTATAGCCAATTAGTTCTAAAACTTAACCCCAAGCAATGTTCTGCCCATCTCAACATCAAGGGTAGCAGGCTAAATGACTTTCTACTGTTTTCTTCAGTGGTTTTTGCAATGATTACATTTTATTCTCTTCTTAGCCCTCTTACTGGTTTGGGGAAAAACCAAAGAAAACAAATGAATCAAGGCAATTTTACAAGACAATTGAAACCAAGTATTTTGAGGCTGAACCTACTGATTTGGTGGCGGGTATCCAGCTCCAACATTTGTGCAAGGTATTGTTTCACACATCTCTCTTCTTGAGGAAACTGATACTTAGTTTACAATTCACTGTCAATGTTTGTTATTGGAAATACCAAGAAACAGATCACATGATAATAAAAGAGGGCATTCTGCCTACTTCCTTTGAGAAAGATACAAATGAAATTTATACAAGATATAATAAAATTTTCTCCTTCCTCCAGAATAGTATCAGGCTTTCTATAAACTATAACTGTGGTCTTCTATGAATATACTCATTTTAAAATGTAGAGTCTAGAACAGCGATTTTCAACTGGTGTGCCACAGTGTTTTAAAATGTGATTATTTAGGGGCACTAATCTCTTTTTTCTTAGATTGTCAAATAAAAATGACAACAGCCAACACAAAAATAGCCATCCAGTGTGAATGAATCAAAATTATACCAATTTTTATCAGATCAGCAAGAAATATATTTTTTGGTGTGCCACAGAAATTTTAGTAATTAGTTTGTGCATGCCATGAAATGAAAAGGGTGAAAATCACTGGTCTAGAACATTAGTTTCTGTTCACAATGTTTTGCACTTGTCTATCTGTACTCTCCTCTGTCAGGGAAGGGATTCTTATATCTCTCAATCTATCTGGATCAGTTGCAGGCATGTAGCATTCAGGTATCCTGTGTACTTACTGGCAATACATTGCCTCTTGAAGGTCTGCCTACCTTGATTTGAGTTCCTAACCCTACAGCTTTGGTAATCACAGATCCTTCCATGCAAATTCAGGTTAATTTTGGAGGTGTTTATACTCCAGTGTGCTATATGCAGGTCTCTCTTTTGGTTGTGTAAGCCAAATACAAAACTCATTTTTTGCTCCTCAGGATTGCTTTGGCTATTTGGGTATTTTTTGTGGTTCATACAAATCTGGTAATTGTTTGTTCTGTTTCTTTTTTAAAATGCCATTGCAGTTTTGATGGGGATTGCATTAAATCTGTATATTGTTTTGAGTAGTATGGACATTTTAACTATCTTGATTCTTCCAATCCATGAACATGGAATATCTATTCATTTATCTGTATCTTTTTCAATTGCTTTTAATAATGTCATGTCGTTTTCAATGTATACATCTTTCACATCCTTTGTTTAAGTTTATTCCTAAGTATTTTATTCTTTTTGTTTCAATTATAAAATAAATTTTTTCTATTTCTTTTTCTGAGATTTCATTGTTAGTATATAGGAATGCAATGTGTTTTTGTATATTTATTTTGTATTCTACAACATTACTGCATTTGTTTATTGTTTCTAATAGTTTTTTGGTGGAGTCTTTAGGCTTTCTATATACAGAATCATGTCATCTGCAAAAAGTGACACTTTTACTTCTTTATTCCCAATTTGGATGCCTTTTATATCTTTCTCTTGCTTGAGTATATCTTTCTGATTGCTCTGGCTAGGACCTCCAGTACTATGTTGAATAAGAGTGGTTAAAGTGGACAGACTTGTCTTGTTCCTGATCTTAGAGAAAAAAGCTTTCAACGTTTCACTATGAAGTATATTAGCTGAGGGTTTGTCATATATGTCCTTTATTATGTTGAGGTACTTGCTTTCTATACTCATTTTATTGAATGTTTTAATAATGAATGGATGTTGTATCTTGTCAAATGCTTTTTCTACATCTATTGATATGATCATATGATTTTATCCTTTATTTTGTTAATGTGGTGTATTACATTGATTAATTTGTGTATGTTGAACTATCCTTGCCTCCTTCAACTGAACCCTTCTTAATCATGATGTATTATCTTTTTAAAGTATTATTGAATTCAATTTGCTAGTATTTTGTTTAGCATTTTTACATCTGTATTTATGAGAGATATTAGTCTATAGTTTTCTTTTGTTATTGCTACATTTGCCAGTTTGGTCTTAAGGTTATGATGGCCTCATAAAATGTGTTGGGAAGTGTTGCCTGTCTTTTAGTTGTTTGGAAGAATTTGAGAAGGACAGGTATTAAATCTTCTTTCTCTGAAAATATGGCTACTGTGGATGCTGGCCACCCTCCCAACAATGACCTCAGCTGAACAGTCACCTCACACAAAATGAGGCCCATTTTCTTGTGGGGTTGTCTTTGTTGCGACTATACTACAAGCCAACTCTTCTCTGTTCGCGCACAGGTGCTGATCTCAAGAGCATTCCTACACACCAATTTCTATCTTACATACACTTCCTGGATGCTAACTCCTATATTAAGGTGTACTTTCCAGAAAACCTGATTGGTGATTGTCTGTACCTGAGTGAACTGAGAAAGCAGATGACAAGATGAGAGGTAGACTAAAGTACAGTGGGGCCTTGACTTACGAGTGTCCCGACTAACGAGTTTTTTGAGATACCAGCTGTCTCTGGGCTGATTTTTTGCATTGAGTTGATAGAGTAATTTGAGTTAACGAGCTCCTTAACGAGCTCGGTCTCGGAACGAATTAAACTCGTAAGTCAAGGCCCCACTGTATAAGGAAGCAGTACAATGTCCACACGTCGTGAATTGGGGTGGTATTCAAGGGAAAAGAAATTTTCCTTTGGTGTCATGTTTCAAGTGTTTGAAAAAAAATGTGGGGAAAGTAATTATAGGGATTATGGAAGTGGATGGATATTGTTGGGTGAACTGATACACTGGAGATGGAAAATGAAAGGCGGTACGTGATTACCCATTAGCGGCTAGCTGAAATCCGGTGAGATTACCAGGAAGCATATGACGATATTTTCCTCTCCAGCAACCAAAGAGCATAAGAGCTGAGAACATTGCCCTATTCTGAAACATAAGAACAGCAGGGCTCTAGAGAAGGTTAAATTCCTAATTAAGCAGGTCTGCCATCCTAGGATTGGGGGGTGGGGGGGGGGGCGATCTTTCTTGGGAAGGAATATAACATGGATACATAGGATAGGAAATGTAAGATGCAAAAATCTTGAGTTCCAATTTCCCCTGAACCCTCAGGCTGCCAAAATGGCTCACTCCCCCCATTTAGGGGCAAGTATTTCTTTCTCTCTTCCTTGAAGATGATACAGTAGCCTCTGCCCCACAAGACAATCCACACCTCCTTCTGGCAACTAGAAATATAACTTGGGTGATGTCACAAAGGGTGGTAGACAGCCTCTAAGAGGACCTTCAGTGACCCACATCTCTTGATTTTCATGCCATTGAGTAGGGCTGGCCTGTAGAACTAATCAAAAACTGCCCAAGTGACAGACTACCTCCAGGGCTAAGTCACAGAAGGGGAAGTCAGATTCTAACTTAGGAGGATACTCAAGCAGTCACCTAAATGACTGAAGGGAGTCTCACATGGGATGCAATGACTCCTTCTCCCAGCAACTTGTACCGACTGTCAGCCTTCTGAGTAAGTACTTTAAAGTGGACCCTCCCATCTTGATTAAGCTTTTAGATGACTTGCTAACATTTTAAATACAAAATCATGCTGCCCAGTTCAGCATTTCTGAGGCCAGAAACTATGAGAAAAATACATATTTATTGTTGCTTCAAGCCACTTTGTTTTGGGTCATTTATTACTCATCAATACACTTTAAATAGATTTGGCACCTGGAAGTAGGATGCTGCCATAACAAGTAACTAATAATGTGGGAGTAGTTTTGGGATTGGAAAGTGAGGAAAGCTGGAAGAACCTTGAAGAGAGTGCTGGTGGAGCTTAAAGGGCCTAGAATAGATTGTTAACAAAAGCCAAATGGTCTTGGAGGTGGCTGCCACTGAAGGCTTAATCAGTGGTTCTCAACCTTCTGGCCCTTTAAATATAGTTCCTCATGTTGTGACCCAACCATAAAATTATTTTCGTTGCTACTTCATAAGTGTAATGTTGCTACTGTTATGAATTGTAATGTAAATATCTGATATGCAGGTTGGTCTTAGGCAACCCCTGTGAAAGGGTCGTTCGACCGCCAAAGGGGTTGCGACCCCCAGGTTGAGAACTGCTGGCTTAAGTGGAAGTGAGGAACTGCTGTTTAAACTGGAGGAAAGAATATTCCTATTATATAACAACTAGTGGCCCGGTGCACAAATTCTTACTCATTGAAAGGAAATTAATTAGAAGAAATATTTTAATATTGCTATTCGCCTTTTCTCTATAATAGAAATGTCAGAGGTGAAAGAAAATTAGTAAAATGTACATGAAAATAATATGTAAATTGATTAATAAATAAACAATAACAACATGATATAACAACAACAACAAAGATCTGGTATGAAAACTACAAAAACATGAAATAAAAACAACAAAATGATATGAAAACAATAAAAACATGGTATAAAAACAACATTGATACAAACAATGACTGATAAATTGATTAAACTTATTCTAATATCTCCCTGTATACTACATTAAGAGTAAAAACACTTTCAGAGTGCTTGACTAATTTCCCTAGTGATGAAGTATTTACAACTTTAACTTTAACGTCACATGCTCTTAGAACTCGAGAGAAAGCAACATATAATTGACCATGTGCGAAAATGGGTTTAGGTAGGAATATTCCTACTCTGTCTAGAGTTTGTCCTTGTGATTTATTAATAGTCACCATGAATGCTGGCATCATGGGAAACTGTCTTCGAATTAATTTAAATGGGAGGCCAGTGTCAGATGGGGACAAATCAGTTCTTGGAATCAGAACAACCTCTCCTTTGCAGATCCTGTTAATACTTCAGCCTTAATTATGTTAGGTCACAGTCTTGTGATAATAAATCTGGTATTATTACAAGACTGCATTTACTATTAAGATTTCTCAGTAGCATGATGATTGCACCTACTTGCCAAATAAATTGAATTTACATATATCATTTAAAAGAGCATTCAGCTTAATATTAAAAACCCTGGCTACCAAGTCAGATCTGTTTTCATTTTTTTTTGCCAGTGTTTTAAATTATTTATAATATCTGCCCATTTGGGGTTGCACGTCATAGTTACAAATAAATAGGGCTTGCCATACTTAGTTACAATTGCCATAGCATCCTGATATCGCTGCTGCATATTTCGGGGACTACCATCAAAAGA